AAAGAGCTACATGCTTGCTAATTCCCGTGTCAAAAGAAAATGCTGCAAGATCTCAAAAAGCAACTCCAAGACATACATGAGAAATGTAACAAAATGAAAGAAGATTTTGTCTATAACCTAAGAATTTTAGAAGAGAGAGAGAGAGATAGAACACTATGATGTCACAGTCACTCATCGGAAAACATCTGAAAATGCTAAACAGGCAATAGATTAGTGATCTTAGAATACATCTGGTAAGGTGGGGCAAATGATTGTCAAGGAAAGAAGAAAAAGGCGCAAACTTCATTATCACTATCAACAGCACACTGAAGAACGTAAGTTAGAGCTGGAATGGTTTTGCAGGTGAGGTGGGACTTCCTTAGAATAGTATACAGGAAAAGAGAAATTCAGCTTCTCTCATACGTATTTGTATTGGGATAAAGCAGTAACCATTCATACAGCAAAGAGCACTTTGAGCATGGAGATAACTGTTATCTATTCTGACAGAAACACCTAGAACATGAACAGAGTGAGGGCTAACAGAAGTGACTTGGTCTATCTTTACACCTCCTATATCTTGTTTTCCAGAGTGACTTGTATGATTTCTGGCAACATGTTAGAGAAAGGATAGCATTAAGTGAAAGTGAGGTTGCTCTTAAACATACAGCGTGTCCCTCCATAATTTACAAGGATGTGTGTTGGTTTGGGGAGACAATATGACTGTGTGGAGATGGCATGATTATAAGGGAAACACAGTGTGGGGAGCAGAAAAGGATTTGTCAGAAGGAAATACTTTTTCCTTGGGCACTGAAACATCTCTAGGAAATTAGATTAATCTGACAATATTGTGATATGTCTCCTATCTGTTACGTCAAGATACACTTGTCTTCTGTGTACTTAATGAGACAAATGATAATGGTATCAACCATTGTCAATAATATTATCTAAGGTTACTAGATATTAGGTGCTATGTTGTGCTGTGGATTCAACACAAACGGTTCAGCCTTCCAACTATTTTAAGCCATTGCAAGCTATTCTTATGATAGGAGTTGTATTTGTCCACTCTTAAATACATTTTGTCCCAACATTCTCTGATAGGCCTCGGTGGAAGACAGAAGGGGTATATCCAGTCACAGGACCAAGATTTATGACTAATACAGGCAGTTGAAGATAGCTAAAGCAATGTACTTGTTTAGTTTGGCCATTCTTGCTAATTTTTATTATTCTGTGTAGCCTTCTAAACCTTGCAGGAGAGAGGAATAAATGCTTATTTCTTTAGATCTGTCTGCACATCATTCTTGTTTAATATAACTGCTATCTTCAGGTATAACAGTATCTTTGGGATTATTCAGTGTTTAAAATAGTAACTGCTGTAAAGTGTTCTGATTCAAACTGCATTTATAATGTACAGATGGCTGGATAAGTTTTAAGTAACTTTTTTTTTTAGTTATTACAAGTGATCTGGACATGGATCTGGAATTCCTCAAAGTTCACTAGCTGATGTTACTGTGGTTCTGGGGCATGTGCAAATTCATTTAAAGCCAGTTCAGGAGCGTTATATGGAGCACATCTTTTGGGAATGGAAGGAGAGTTTGAGTCTTTTACACATAGCGTTGCCTCTTAGGCAGGCTGAGCTGGATACTAGTCACGATTGCTGAGCAGTACAGCAATTATTCTTCTTATCTGCATTGCCCTGGAGAGTTGCAGGATGAACAAGGGAGGTGTAAAAGCACCTGTCTAGACTGCACTGAGATGACCCATCTGTTAAACTTTATTTATATGCATGTGTTGGCTATAGGATTCAGATTAATTTAGGTGAAGTGTAAATATAAAAGCAAAATCTAGCAGAATATGAAAGTGAATATGTATTTAGCTGTTTGTAACTATGCAGCTCTAGTTTGTAGTTCCGTGTATGTAGTTATTTTATGAGCAACCTTATCTAACCAAATACAATGGTCATTCAGCTACATAAAATAACTGCAATATAGAGTTGAAAGCAGTCAGAAGTTTGAAGAGCTGCAGGTCTATTTGGCCATGTAACAGGCTGCACCAAGCCTGTTGAGTCTTGCAGAGATGAATCCAAAGCTTGGAAAGGTTCAGTGTATCATTAGAGAACTTACTGGTCGTAGTAGTAGTATGAGCTCTTCAAATTTGTTTGAAATGCTGGCCATACTGGTATTCTTCCATTGTATCTCAGAGAAACTTTTTTTGTTGATAGCAAATAAAAATACTGGAGGGAGGAAAGGAAAAGATACGGAGCCGCTTCTATTTTTAAATGTATATAAAAGCTCGGATTTCTGCTGGGTAGCCCTTGTTCTGCAATTTCTTCTTATGTAACAGAAATTTTTGGGTGGAGGAGGAACTCTGTTAAGTGGAAGTCTTGCACTACTTTTCAGTAGATCTTTGATATTTCATATGCAACTAACTTTTGAAGTATAGTTTTGAGAAATGTCATATACTGTTAGAGTTGATTTCAACTGGCTTAATGAGAAAAAAAAATTAAGGTAACTGTTTCTTTAGGAAATTATATTATCTTGTATTTATAGTTACGTGTTATTGTTCAAAAAATTTTACATATGTATGCCTTATTAGGTCACCAGAGATGCTCTTTAATGTAAATTTGTTTTATTTTTGTCTATAGCTCTAGGAACAGTCACATAGATCATCAGTTTGAGGAGTATGTGAACCTGAAACATCACATGAAGAGAAAAATCTAAGAACTGGAAGGAGAGCTTGCTTGTCAGAAACGGGTATAAGAATAAGGAGAAACAGTACTGTGTAGCTGCAGTGCCATCTAGCAATCCTTTTTTTTTATTATTTTTTTTTTTCCAATTAGAATGTTCTGCTTTAACATTGGTGTAGTTGCATAAGCTTCTGTTTTCTACCTAAATTTATAAGATTTCTAATGACAGTTTCAAAAATTACACACTGCCTGTGTAGTAGCTGTTGCTTTGCTTATCTGGCAGCTGCCCCTTGTAAGGAACTGGTAAGAATGTGTTTAGTAATCTGAGATTGTGTAAGATTATTTTATGTAGACAGCATACAGTTAAATTTGTTAACCTTGAAACCACAGGAGAGGTCAGCGTCTAGAAAGCAGAGGCAACATGAAGCAAGATGGGTAAATGTACGTTGTTTATCACACTCCTAATTACAGTGTGCTTTTTTCCCTCCTTCTACCTCTTATATTGCTATCATTTCATCATAAAAAGGTAATCTTACTAACAGTGAAGTTTGTCCTTCAACTGTGAGGGGCATTATACCAGCTCTCTCTATATATTGCAAACATTAAAGAACAACAAAACCTTCCTTCTTTATTTTTTTATAAAAATGTATTTGAGATTAAAATGACTTTTTAATTATTTACATATTATGTGTTTAATTATTAAAACTAGAATGGTTAATTTTTGACCTGTCAACCAAACCAATATATAATATAAATGGACGTGGTAAAAGAGATTGTTAGGTAATTGCATCTTGAACCCAACACCTTCCAATCCAAATCAGTATAGTTGTCCTGCTAAAATAGCCCATCTTCATCCAGGAGTCTTTTGCCCATGGGCTCCTCAAAGACAGTTTATGAACCTACTCAAAGGAGTATGAGTACTTCTCACTTGAACAATACTTGATAACTGGCTTGATTTGGAAGTTATATGTTGTGTGGTTAAACTGTAATGATAAAGCTGGTTAATCGCTGTTCCACAAGCGTAAGGGCACATCATCTAATACACACTATTTCTCTTAACTTTTTTTTTCCTCCTCCAGTGTGTTATCTCCATTGTTTATGACTTACAACTAAAGAAGGACATCTTACATGCTTGCCATTGGGTCTTTTTGCAGTCATTCCCCTTAACCTGTCCCATGATATTGCATCAATTAGCCAAAATCCCTTGTGACCTCATCCTCTTGTTTTCAAGTTTCAATCATGATTTATCAATTGAACTTCTGGAAGTAGTATCTCATAAACACCTTTAAAATACTTTTATCAGTCTAGGCACCTGAAGGGCTGCTCACTGCAACAGTAATTTCTGGAAAATCTGAGGCTCCCTTATGAACAGTTTTTCATACACTTATGAAACATGGGTGTTGTGAAGAATGAGTTTCATGTTTCCTCAGTGTTGTCTTCACTGCTGGCTTTAATTTCCATACATTAGACCACCCCCCCCCCCCCCTAAAAAAAAAAACAAAAAAACACTTCACAACTTTCTTTACTATTTTGTTTCTGATGCTGATAGTAACATTTAAACTGTATAAGGTCTCTAGACCTCTTAAAAAATTGGGTTATATCAAGCTCTCATTAGAATTCTTAAGTCTTATTCTCTACCTTTCGAAGGTGAAGCTGCTGGCCATAGAACTGGAAGCCCTCAAGGAGACTGGAATGCAAACACCAGAATCACTGCAAACAGCAGAAATGTTTGATTTGAGGCTGGAGCAAGAAAACCAATTCAACGATTTTGTTGCTGTGAAAGATGCTTGGTATTGTATAATTTTGATTATGATCAAAATAAACTGCTTTTCACAGACTCTACAACACTTTAAACTTACTGTCCTTCATATAGTCTTATTTTAGCAGCATCTTGGGATGGTGTATTTGATCTAGTAATATATATTGTTAGAACAGAAAGAGAGAACCCTTTATATGAAATATTTGTGAAGTCACATGAATTCAGGTTAATTCTGCTGCATTCTTTCTGGATGTAAATTGTCTCACTTTAAAAATAAAATTTTATCTTAAGTTTTAATGGTTCAGTGGTACTTTCTGCCTTTACTGCAAAAAGGACTATCTCTTCCAAGCAGTAAATATAATGAAAAAAATTAGTTCATCCTACTTCTAGCATGTGGCTAGTTTTGGTGTCTCATATTTCACACACTTGATTTGAATCCAGTAAGTCCAGTTGTGTTCAGTCCCAACTTTATCAAGCAGCTACAGACATATTGTGAATATAGTGACAGAAAATAACTCATTCAGGCCAGAGTATTATTGGTATTTTTATTTTACTTATCACTAGTTCAAGCTTAAGAAACAAGCCTTACTCATAGTTCAGTTCCTTCTGTTTTGCTTTAATCTTTTATAATAAAAAATTTTTATGTATTTTGAAAATTTAAATACAGGTAAATTTCAGAGGGTAAGAACATCATACAACTATTACTTGCATGTCTGCTTTTTTATTTACTGTTAGGTTTGAGTTTTCTATAGGTAGTATTTGGTGGTCTTTTCTTCTAGCAACTCACTTCTGTCTTATTTTAAACTTGATGTCTATTTTTGTGTGAGTGCATGCTCAGGAAACCAATCTGTGAACGAAAACAGAATATTCAGGGAAGCATTTTTGCTCTGTGGATTCCTACAGTCTCTTCTTTGGGCCACCTGATCATAGCTGTCTTTCAATTGTTCAATTACTGTAAAGAATATTTTCAGTATGGTAAAAGAGTATGTTGAATTGAGTAGTTCACCTGATAAAATAGGTTCTCCATGAGTCATCTTAAAAAAAAAAAAAGTATATATTAATTTTTAGGATCACTCTGATCACATAATTAGGCGAAGTACTGTTGTTCTTTGTGTTAATCACAAACTTAAAATTCTGAGATAAATTTGAGTTAAACTCTCTGCAGTGGTATAAGAAGGAGTCAGCCCTGGTCCTAAGTCCAACTAAATAGTGACATTCTTAGTTCAAAAAAAAAATCAACTGCAAAAGACCTCCTTGCAAACTGCTAACACTGACAAGCAGATATTGATTTCTGTTTCCACTGCTTCCAACAATCATGTGCAGCAGCCTTTGAGTTTAGGAATTTTACACTGACATTCCAACAACTTTAATTCCTAGCTCTTTTGTATCCCATTTCCATTATTAGCAAACGGGAAACATGCTGTGAATGGTATAGCTGAGAGTAGTATCGTTGTTGAAGAGCAGTTTATGCCGCTTGAGCTGAGATGACCTCCAAAGCTGATTCTGAATACCCATACAGATGGACCCTAGGAGACTGCTGAGCCCTAAGCAATTAAAATACTTTTGTCCAGTAAAATACTTAGAGTGGTATAGAATAAAATAGTTAACTTGGAAAATAAAACAAGGCT